CCCCCCCTCCCAACGGCAGAACAACCCTCACAAACCAAAGCAAAAAAGCCAACACACCACTTCTCATCTTACACTTACCAATATCATCAATTCTAGTTCCCCCTAAACCTCAAACAACCAACATCCAAAAAGCCAAATGCCCACAAAAAGAAAAAGAAAAACCACATTCTGACAGGAGCAGGACTCGAACCCACATCTCACACAGCCCAGCACGTACCCCTCCCAACCCGACGACCAAAATGGCTTTACCAAAACGACCGGGAATGCAGAAGGGTAGTTAGTGGATGTGCGCTTTAACCAGTTAAGCTATCCCGCCTTTATTCTCTCGAGAGGAGAGAATGGGGATGGTGTGATGTGTTGTGAGGCTCGAAGTGCTTATTTGGTGAGATGAGGGCTGGTTGAAAAATCTCGCTCTTTTGTTTTCTTTTCCAGGTGAGAGGATTCACGGGTGTTTCTAAATGTTAATAGAGAGGTCTTTGAAAGCTTTAAGAAAGCTGGCTAGCTGTATCTACAGGTCATTGGTAGCTGACAGGACAGAACACTTATCTTGCTGCGGAGGTGCAAGTATCGTCTCAAGTGAAAACTGAGAGCGTCCAGATATAAGAAACAGCAGTACTTAAGAGCTGTGAACATGGGAAGAGGATTTACCAAGGTTCATGACTCCCCACAAACTCCAACCGCCATGGATTATGGATACCTGGCGAGGAGGAAAGTCACCAGTACGACATCAGCCATATCATCAACACCCAGAATATGAAGTCCTCTGATCTGCAGCAACATCTGATTTTCAATTATATCTCTCCTTCATTCTCTACTAGGCCTCCCCATCCCCTCCTCCCTCTCTTCCCCCAACACCGGCCTCGCCCCATCCTTAAAATGCAAGTCAAACCTCCAGCACCCAGGATGCCTCTTCCCCCTACATTTACACTTCTTCTCCTTCTCCTTCCCCTCCCCACTCTTCACCTTCCCCTTCTCCACATCCGGAATTCCAAACGTCTCACCTCCCGTCACACTAGGCGTGAACCTCACATGTCCCCTCTTCCTCCCCGTTCCAGGCGTCCTGATACTAGGACTCAGTATTCCTACCGGACTGAAAGTCCCAGGCAGCGGTATACGAATCGGCCCCGGGCGTTTCTTCTCGCTCATTTCCCCTGTCCTTCTACTATCTGCACTTAATCTCGATTCTGTGTCTGAGTAGCCATCTTTGCTTTCCAGTAGCGTCTCTGCTTCTTCTTCGTCGCCTTGTCTCCTGGTCGAGTGAGATTTATGTGATTGATGGGATTTATGTACTTGATAGGAAGTTGGTCGACGATTCCGTATGTAGAGGATCAGGCCGAGGATGATGGCGAATATGAAGATGAGGATGCTGGCATTGAGGAAGATGGCTACTCGGTAGGAGGCGGGGAGGGACCATGATTCTGGTGACGAGGGCGGTGGTGTTTGATCCTGGCTTTGAGGTTGGGACTCTGGTGGGGTGGAGGTGGACGGTGTGTGGAAGAGAGTAGTTCGGGGAAGGATCATGATGGGTGGTAGGTCGGGTTGAATTGAATTGAATTGGTTTGGACGGGTGGCTGATAGCTAGCTGCAGTAGAAATGCATTAGCTATTGTCACTTCGATACGGACCGAGCTGGTGGGATGACAAGTGAGAAGCTTAAAAATGGGCACTCACTCGCTGCATGTAAAGAAAGAGAATTGTCAGGTTATTCTTGTTTTCGCAGAGACACCAGACAGGAGGCAGATGGCGAGCTTCACCTCAATGAAGAGGTCTCGCAGATGCTGTAAATCCGGAGAAATGGACGAGACCACAACAGAGTTCAGTCCAGCATCAGCATGAAAACCTACTTGCCCTCCGAACACCCTGAAACTTAATTAAAGAGAGTAAATGGCGAGAAAACACCAAAGAGATGTACAACAAATCGTCATGAATCCATTGCAAACAGACGGACCGAACAAAGAGATGGACGTGAGGTCCAGATGAAGAGGAAGAACGGACGGAATAAAGAAGACGATGTCCGGTCCAGGATCAATAATATTTCGCGGTTAAGACCTTCGGCGGACGAATAGAAGCTCAGGGATCTTGCTGGAAATGGGCAAAGCTTCCGTTTCGGGGTGACGGGACCTAGGATGCGAGACATGCATGAGCCGCTGCGACCCACGCTGGGAACGAGCGAACGAATGCGGGTGCGCCGTATTGATGGCCGTATTCGGTGGATTCTGGATTGATTTGGGTTGATTGGATGACTGAGCTATGAGGCTGAAGTTGTCAAAGAACCCTTGAAGCTGGGGTGTTGAGGGGTATCATGATTGGTGCATGGCGAGCTGGTGGGGTGAAGTTTAATTAGATCTTGGGCGAAGACCCTGCAGGTCTGTCAGCAGTTTGATGCTTGTGGGGGCATTAATGGATGAAGATCCGAGGCGGTGGACGTTGGGCGCGGGGTGCATGCTGGAGTGGAACGACGACCGGATGAAAAGATGTCTTCATGCCGTTTGATGTGCATAAGGAAGCAATTCGTAAGTGACGAGGAGGGTTTTTTGACTTCATTTTTGATCCCTGATGAGATCAGATCTGAACTGGCAGTGGGACATCCCTATACCGTTCATATAATACACTTTTGTACAGCTTCAACCATCCGTCCGATCCGCGTAGGGGGCCCCATGTTGTACATCCAACTCCTTCCCATACCGGACTTTTGTACAGCCTATCAATTTTACAAATCATCCTCCCCAATGGGCTTCGGTTCCTTCCAAATTCGCCCGCCCTTCGTCCTCTTCTCCCTCTTCACAAGTCTGCTCGCGATACCCGCCTCTTTGATCTCCGCCACACCTTGCTTGCCCATGATCATATCATAGTGCTTCTTCTTCATCTTCTTGCCACCCTTACCCATCTTTCCATCTCTGATACCCTTGACTTTCCCACCATCATCACCGGTACGCCCAAGGCGTGGTGATCTGAATGTTCGAGTCTTGGCTCCCAAAGCCCAGAGATCTCCCCAGCTGGATTTACGTGCATCGCGGTAAGCAGCTTTGCTGAAACTTCTAGGGACAGTCCAGCGTTCGAGTTTGCCGGATGGTGTACACAGGTCAAGAGTAACATGCCCACGGCGCTTGAGACTGGGAAGAATGATTCGAGGGAGATTCAAGGGCTCGAACTTCACATCCCTCGGTTCTGCGTCGATCTCGTTCGACTCTGGGAGATCGTGATCTTCATACCCAGCAAGGGACTGCAAAGTTGCTTCCTCGCCCTGTAGTAGGCCTGGAGAAGATTTCCGAGCATCAACACCTCGACGAACTGCAATGTAACTAAATTTGGCATCTTCATGATTGCGGATCTTGGCCCCTAAGACTTTCTGGAGATAGTCTGGACGAATGAACCTCTGGGGGAAATGACAGAAGTCCTTCCGTCCAGTGCTTAGACCAGGTACAGGATACATTGGGCACTTGAGGTGATTCGTGCACGGTGCAATGATCATGCCTTCCTCTTTCTTCGTGAAACGGGATCTTTCTGAATTCGGAGACTGAATCTCGTTCTCGATGGCGGTCTCTCCTGGTGAGGAAATATGTGACTCAAGTAGAAGAGACCTCGCACCTGCAACTGCCTCGAAACCTCGAGGAAGTCCCTTCTCAATAATAATCAAAACACCACCATTAGGATCGAGCAGTGACCAGAGGTTCTGAACCATATTCTTCCGACGGAAATCTTCCTTTAGCGGGAACAGCGTATGTGGTGCGATAATGATGTCGTAGGATTTCCTTGGCTGGTTCACATTGCGGTCTAGGTGTGGCGTTGTTGATGGGCCAGGCATGTATTCTGGTAGTCGTGGCAAGAAAGTCGTATCTTCCAAAAATCGAGATATCCGATGCCGTAAAGCAGTAGAGCCCGTGAGAACGGACGTCTTCCCATGAGGTACCTGCTCGCCTTCAACAAGGCCCTCGTCTCTCATCACATCCCATTCCGCTTGTAGGATTTCCCTCCATGCAATGACTCCAGCACCCGCACCGCCGGCATCCAGTATCCTTGGACCTTCACCACCTTCCCTGAATATCAGGTCTCGAACCCACTGGCCTCCAAGCCGTTTCCGGACTTCCACAAGAGTATTCGTGATAGAAGCGAACGTTCCTGGCATGACTGCTGCTAGATACGCATCTGCCTCGATTTCGCTCATCTTGTGCTGCATGGCGTCAAGTCCGATGTTCTTCTGCGGAAGCATTTTCTTCGAAGCTGGCACAGATGCCGAGTATGGCAGACCCTTACCACCAAACACCCTTTCTGCTGTTTCGGTGACATGTTTTGTATTCGCGCGTGCCAGTAACTCTGATATTGGTGCCAGGAATGTTTCCTTGGGAAAAGTGAGCGTCGTGGGGTTCGTTCCTGATCGCCCGGTCATTGTGTGGGGATGTGTTCGCACAGCATCGGAGCTGATCCATATACCATCCTCCTCTTCCTCATCCTCCTCGATTTCCTCCTCTTCCTCTTCGTATTCCTCATCTATTTCGTCCTCCTCTTCTTCCTCGATAGGTTTCGCCAATGCTGCGTCCATGTCCAATTGCAATCGTGCGATGGCGTCGATCTCTCGCTGGTTCCTTCCCTGGACTTGAACTGCGTTCTCATCAACTTCCTCACTTGCCACAAGCTCTTCTTCTTGTCCTTCAAGTATGTCCTCGACCTCCACAGCCTGCTCAAACTCTTCAGCCAATTCCTCAGCCTCGGCCAGTGCCTGCTCATGTCCCAGAAATGATTCGTTTACCTCCTCAGCAGGTATCTCCCCATCCGTAACAGAATATCCAAGCTCAGGATCAAATTCAATTTCCTCGTAATCGCCCATCGCATTCTGCTTCAACAGCACATTCCGTACCTTATCCGGATCGACTTCGTCCTCCCCCTCTGGCAGATATTCCAAATCCTCAGGCTTTGTTTCCCTCAAAGGCGGTCCATATAATCGCTCGTAGATCACATATTCCTCGATCGATAAATAATCCTTCGGGAGAGTCTCCCCAAATGTCTGTCTTGCCTGCCGTACCACAGCTTCAATACCTGCTTGCGAAGCTGTAGATGACTCTCGCAGACCCAGTTTCGGTTCTTCTGCACGATTTCTGGTCGTGGAAAATACACGGGAGGCATTCTGGCGAAGTGGGAGGGCTCGAGGTCGTATTTGAACCCGAGTGCTGTATCGTGCTCGTACAGCGTTCGAGGGCGCGCAATTCGTGAAGCCGTTCTCGAAGAGAGACTGTAGCTGGAGACGACATGATTGACATGCCCTCGGTATCTTGCGGGCCGACAACATGATTGTTGTGCGTGGTGTTGAAGCTCTTTTCAA